GCGGTGGCTCCTCGCCTCTGGAACAATCTCCCTCCTGAGATCCGCGCGGCCCCCACTTTGGACACTTTTAAAAGTCAATTAAAAACATGGCTATACATTCAGGCCTTCCCTCTAGTTAATATCTGACTTTTCTGTTTATTACAATATGATTTATGCAATTGTTTGTGTTTTTTGTATTATTTCACTGTTTTTACTATATTGGAAGCCGCCTAGAGTGGTCTTTTACACCAGATGAGTGGGGTATAAATCAAATAAATAAATAAATAAATAAAATAAATCAATCAAAGTGGTGAAAGGTAGACCTGCTTCTGTTGTTGCAATGAACTTCAGGGAGCCTTGGAAGTCCAAAGCAATTGTTGAGGAGCCTCTTGTCCACTAGCCTGAAGAGGAAGGCTAGGACATGAACAACGTGCCCTCTAAATTTCAGTCCTGCTGGGCAGGACTCTGTCTCTCTGCATGCGACTCTGCCCCCCCCATGCGCTGGGTTCCACCACATCCAGAACACACATGGAGAAGGAAGAGAGCTCTGTGGAAGGAAGTGGAGTCATGCACGCACACCTAGCTTAGCAGGAACCTTGGACATGAAGCACATCATCATGACAAGCCATCTCTCACCTCCAGAGGCTTTCAGTTTTGCTCTGTATTTCCAAGTATCTCAAAAACAACCTGGCAGATCCATCTTCTGCCTTTATCCCAACCTCTCAGAAAGGGAAAGAGTTGGGTTCTGGGTTTTTTAAGATGCCTGAAAGAGCAGAAAGGCAACCCTGCACCCTACAGATGCAACCCCAAAGTTAGGACTAAGACTAAGAATTATAATGCCTGCAATGGGGAGAAAACCTGCCTCTCTCTTCATCTGCTGCTCCATCTGGACAATACTGTGCTTTCTTCAACCTAGATTATTTTTAGGCAAATTATAGTTTGTGAGGATATGGGTTTTGTAGTACTTGTTTCCCAGGACCTGCAGGTGTTTCATCTCGGCCAGAGACCTAGTTGTTGTGGAAAAAGACCCAAGGCCATACAGTATGTCAGGGCTGATAAACATAACATTCCTTGCTAATGGCCTACCAGCCTAGGAACGAGAGACGGGAGTTGTGGAAAGTTACAAGCTGGGTGTGGATTTGCGAATAAAGGACTGTATACTGACTGGATAGCATCACGAAGCAGAGACTTTGATTTAAGTTATAGAAAGGGGGATTAAGTAGGGTGCATGTTTGTAAATTGGAGGAGAGAAGATGAATGATTTAAGATTTAAAGCCTTCATTGACTGATTGGGAGATTTTAGCCATGGTGACTTAGAATAGCCTAGTCATTAAGTAGTAAAACTATTAGCTAATTAATAATTTTATTGTTTTATGGGAAAGTCTTACAGAAGCTTATTTAATACTTAGATGCTTGGCATTTAACCAGTACAATTGTATCTTTTTGTATTTACTTTGTTTTGTAACATTTTTTTTTACTATTTTTGAATAAATATTTTATATTTTACCCAAGTGTGATTCTTGGGGGCAAGAGTGAGAGTGCCTAGAGAAAATGCCATAGCCACAAGGGCTTTGTTTGCTATTTGTTGTTATTTGGGTGTCCTACCTGGTGAGGCTGGTGTGCAAGGTCCAAAGTACACTGCCAAAGAGTTTTAAGCTGAAACAAGTGCGTAATTGGAAATCTAGGGACAGAAGCTTGCCCACAGTGGCCCAGTCATGCACCTTCTACATCTCACCCAATCTAGGAAAAAGGTGGTGAACGTTGGGAACTACGGTTTGGCTCCTTCCCCTAGTGGAATGGCTTCTCTAAGGATATGCATTCCTGACATAGTTGCAGCTTGTTTTCCCATGTTGCAGCCATTCCACCAGTCTTCAAACAGTATGTTTCTTTTGTGCAATAAACATGGAATCATGAATAAACTGAACTGAATTTTTTCAGGGATTACAGATTTTCATCCTGTTCTTAAGCTAAAAACGGTTACTAGAGCAGCTTACAAAGAACAAAAATAAAACTCCCAGCTTGCATGCTTTAGCAAATGCTTTTAAATCAAACACATTCTCCAGATGAAGTGGGAACATAATAGAAAATGTATATGCAAAGGTAGAATTTGTTCTCACTGTCTCTTAAATTCAGAATGTAGTTTCACTACATTTTTATAGGCTTACACCTTCCTTTCCCATTAAATAATAATAAAATCCCATATATATAAAGTGGTTGTGGAATAAACTCAATGTTGTCAGGCAACACAATAGAAGCATGTGTTATTACTACCCATACATTGCTGTTAGTGTGCATAATATGCTACAAAGTAGAGAAACAGATCAGTGCTATGGAACAAATGGTAAACTGGATAAATCCTATCTCTGCCTAAATCAGGACTGATCTGAAAATTTTAAAATATGAATCTGCAATGTCTGATGATATCTGGGTGGCAGATATCAGGTATGGGACGCCTGGGCACAGTGCATTTCAGATTTGTTGGTTTGCTAGAGACTTTCCTAATCATTAAACTGCATTTGGTGACTGCATTAACATATTTTATAGTTTGATCATTGCTTTATCACTTTATTAATAACTTTTTATTATATACAGCTAACTTTTATTTTGCAAAATTTGGGGGGGGATTTTAATGATGAAACTGAAAAGTGGCCTAACATTAGTGTTCAATAATTTAGAAAGGAATAAAATAATTATCAACACAATCAGATTAATAAAATAAAATAAAAAACAATAACAATAATAATGCCATTAAGTCATGGCGACCCTTTTTAGGGTTAGGGTCAGGTAAAAAGTACTCAGAAGTGGGGGTAGCTGTATAACTGTGCCGCTTCCCCAAGGCCACACAGGTTGGCTCTACATGTAGGAGGCCCAGTGGGGAACTGAACTTCTGGCTCTGCAGCTTAATACCTAACTCAGTGAGCTATCAAGCCAGCTGAATAAATAATAAAAACATTTCATAATGATACTAGTGAAAATGTTGTACTTAGGGCACAGTAACTGATCAGGCTTCCTTTCTAGCAGTTTTCTGCCACATCTCTGAGTACAGATGAACTTAGAAAAGACTTCAATGTGTGGAGTGCACACAGGCACATGAGGAGAGGTGGCCTTTCATTACTAAGAGGCAGAGAGTTTCATTAGGAAGGACCAACTTTCCACTATTCTTATGGGGAGACAGATTAACATGCAGAACATACAATTATCTAATCTTTTCCAAAAGGGGCAATAACTCAATCATTCTTGTACCTGAAAGTGCTTCGCCTCGTTGTAAGACTTCCTCAATGTTGGCTACCATTATTCTCTGTACGTCTTGTAACTCTGTGTTGATAGAGCCAAGGTTTCTTCTTGCACGACTGTCAATATAAAGTTTCTTGGTTTTCTGGATGTACGTATCTGGAACAAGAGAGAGTTGATCAAGAACAATCCTTTCCTCCTTCCAAAATCTGTTAATGTACACACCTGAGACATCCATTCCACATATTTAGCCAGACTTCATTCTCTGCCAGTCACTCTACCCTCTCTAAACCACTGACCTATCTTTCCAAAGTAGTAGCAAGAACACAGCTCAAAAACAAGGCAACCTTTTCAAATGTCACTACAAATGTAGATGATTATTTCTTCAGAAAGTCCCAAGAGAGATCTGAGCTTAAAGATCAGCTTTAGTGTCAATATAAATAAATAACGATGTTGAATGTAAGACCAGTAGCATTCTTGATACAATATTTTCTTTATAAGAATGAAATATAACTCCCATATATTTCTCTTTTTAAATATTTGAGATGAAAAAATAATTTTCTTTAAGCATCCAGAGAATGTGGATTTTTCATAAAGACAAACTCCTACTGATTTGTTATGTGAGTTTAAACTGTGTTCCCAACCACTTCTCTTAGTCATCAGACTGATTCAGTATAATAAGCATCAACCTGTATAACTGGTTAATTATTTGATACTTACATCAATACAATGAGCTATAAGGTTAAAAAAATCATTCTAAGTACTTATGGACTCAGGCCAATATGCACAGTAAAGTATTTGAATCTATATTTGCTTTCTTAAATTAAGTAATTTTGGCTTATTACTGAGATAGCTTACCTGCATCTGGCATGCAGAAAATATCCAGTGAGCTACAGAGATATTCTGTCCACTTACTTAAGTTATACCCCGCCTTTCTGCCAACAGATGGGCTCAAGGCATTTCAGGAGAAAATAGGCAATTAGTCATCTTAATTTCCCTGTCATGGTTGACTAGCTACATCAGTAATAAACAGTCAAACACACAATAATAAATAAATAAATGCAGCCATCTCTCTCACATACTTGTATTTAACATTCTAGATAGAGCACAATTTCCTTGCTATCATCAAGAAAACTTAAAAAGAAAAGTGCCTATTCTCAGTGGTGCAGATGTCAGGAAATAATTCATGGAGCTTATGTGAGGTGATTCTGAAGGCTCCATGGTGGAATACAAGGTCTGCATGAAAAGAGTCCCATGGCCGATCTCCAGTCAAAACCTCATGAAGGAAGAGCCATGAAGGTGACTAAAGGGATGTGACAGGAAAGCTCTTAGTTAAACTTAAGGGGGGAAAAAAACTCACCAAACTCAATGAAAGAATAGGGCCTGGATACAGTTGGCACTTTCTTTCCATGCTGTTCATCAAATTCTGAGTGCAAATCTTCCAGATATGCAAAAGCCAGCTTTTTGGGGAAGGCAGCTTCACACAATACTAAATAACACACTCCTCTCTCAATTATATAACTGCAAAAGAGAATATAATAAATGAGACAACAGCTTGATAGAAATCAGTTCCCATAGTTCAAACTATTTTAGTTCTACATGCTCTTTTCACCAGGCACTCACAGCACACCGTTCTATAGCTCTAATAACTATACATTATATTTTGTCTAAAATAGTATGTACATCACATGTCTCATTATGCTTCACATGAGAGGCGGGGAAACTTTGTTGGCTTTTGTCATTGCTCCAGTGACACTGTGTCAAGGACTGCATTCATGTCAGAAAGGGAATCACTACATACATGGCCACCTACTCCTAGCATTCTCAAATAAAGATATACTGTCACCAGCTGCAGCTTTTTAAAAAGGCTGATGGCAATATGGAATCCTTTCAAAGGGGCTGGTGCTAGGGAGGGAATATGTAATCTTCTCTGAGTCCTGTGGCCTCACTCTCTTTGCCAATTAGGTTTTTAAATAGCTTCAATTGACAGAAATTGCTAGCTAGTGGTTTAGCTATCTGGTTATGGAGCCAGAAGTTGGGAGTTCAATTTTCAACTGTGCCTCCTTGGCAGCGGCTGAACTTGATGATTCATAATGTCCCTTACAGCTCTGAAGTTCTAAGATGATGATGATACTTATTAGGATGATTGCATATCCAATGTAAAATTCCAATATATTTTACAGTATATATTATGTATATAAGTTTGTTGGGCATGAAATTTTACACTGGTGATGCTACTGAAACATATGCAGATTTGATTGCCCCAGCCTTCCATTTCTTCTTGAGGCTATTGTGTTGCTTGCGAAAAGTGGAATACAGTATGTCTCTGAAAGAGGTAGATAGAGGCTTTAGTTGAACACACTAACAGCTGTGTGTCAGTTAGGGTTAATGCTGTTAGAGTTGACTGGGGGCTGTTTTGTGAACAAGTTGTGGATGGCAGTGTGGTCTTATTGGATCTCGTGTTAAAGCAAGCATATATAAAGAAAATAAAAGTGTAAAATGATAAAGTAAAAAGGTTATACAACTTATGGTTGTATAATAAAGAGCCTGATATCTCAAACATTCTTAGAGCCTACTTTTACCTTCAAAAATGAGAGAACACCAGGCCTCTAGCTAAAACATGCCGGATGAGTTTTTCTCTGTTAAAGCACAGAACCTACAACTCTTGTCTTGAGCTTCCTGAGTCATGCAGTACTTACTGAAACGTCATAGCACCTGCTTCCAAGGTACATCTGGTTGGAGACTGTTCATTGAGCTTGCGGAACAGCTGCTTGGCTTGGCTCTGGTACTGCTGCAGGTCCCGCCCTGACTACAAGACAATAGGAACCGTTATAAGAGCAATGCTGAACAACTGCTGGTCCGAGACCCTGAACCATTCACAACAGAAGGAAAGCCAGCCCAGTCATTTTCAACCTTACTCACACAGCAGTCACTGCCTGCGCATACACACCAGGGAAAAGCACACAAGGAGGATGCCGTTTCCAGTCCGAGTTAATCTCCAAGCCCTCTGGCAATTAAAACCGAAAGAACCAACAACCATTTAAACGGCAGTCTCCCAACAGTAGGAAGGGAATGCCATTCAACGCAGCAGGATTACTTCCCAGTAAACTTGCTGAGGAGGGCAGGTTCAACCTTTAGACTGAGAAAGGCATTTCACAAATATCTGTGTATGTCAACCGACATCATGCATGTACGGCTCCTCTGCAGCATTTGAGAGGCTTTCTCGCAAGGGTAATTTCTGAAGTCTTATTTAGACCGAAAAGGAAGCGGCCGCCCAGTGAATATATTCACCTGCTCGTCTTCTTGCATGGAAGCGGCCAAAGGCAGCCCATCGGCCACTCTCGCGATCATAGTGAGCAGCACCATCTTGCCTCAAAAAAACCCCACACACCTCCACCGCCACCCCTTCCCTAGTTCTTCCCACACAAGATGAATTGGAGTCTCGAGAAGACTGAGTTGGCCGGAAGCGACGGAAATACTTTCCGGGGGTCAGGCAGGCCCTTCCGAACTACTTCCGGTCCCGCCCACACGCCTGCCGGAATCCACTTTCCCTTGGAAACCTTAGTTCCGGCGCCGCTCGCCGGCTTCAGTCGCCGTCCCCCTCCGAGGCGCCTCTGCGGCCGGAGGAGAGAGAGCGGGGGGCGGGGCGAAGGGGNGGCATTCCGGCGATGGCGGTCTCTGCAGGCAGTGAGCCGCGCGGGCGCTCCGGCGGCCTCCCCGGCGGGGTGGGGACGTCCAACAGCCCGCTGCCTATGAACCTCTTCGCGGCCTGGGAGATCGACGGTTCGAGCCCCAGCTGCGTCCCGCGGTGAGTCCTTCGGGGCGCGGAAGGGACGGCGTTGCCTAGCGGAAGCCCATGGAGGGGGGGAAACCGCCGCCGCCGGGCGCTTGATTTCTCCTGCGCGCAGGTCTTTGTTTTGGGGGTGCTGCTGCCCCTCCTGTGCTCGTAGCCGCAGGCTGGACTCCCCACCCTCCCTTTTGCTCGCCGCCTCCCCTTGCAGGATGCATGCATGGCCCCGGTCTTGGGAAGCAAGGGTCCCGGACGCCCCGGCCGAGCACCTTTCCTGAATGCCCGGCTTTGATCGCGGCTCCCCCCTCCCGCCGCCCCCCTTTCCGACACGGCTCCCTGGAGTCGCTTCGGGCAGGTGGGGCTTCAGGCGTTGCTCTTGCTGCCCCTGCTCGGCCGAAAACCCGCCTTTCCAAAGAAGTCCCGCGGGTGTCGTGAGAGATTCCTCGGGGGTCGGAGCCGTCCAGTGGCTTCTGACTTGTGCAAAGGAGGGACCTCCCCAAGGGTCCCGTCAGGAATAGCCCTGTCAAGCGAGACAGCGTGGCTTCCTTCACTGAGTGAATCCGCCTCATGTCAGAGCAGGGAGGATTTGATCTCAAGTCGAAAGGATTTAAATCAAAAATTGGGTGGGTTTTTTTTTTTGATGATGATTTAATTTTTTTAAAAAATCAAGTTTAAAAAAATTAAATTGTGATTTGAATCATGGCTTACATATATTTGATTTTTAAAGAATCATTGATTTTTATGCATCCTTTGTCAAGTCATCTTGTTCTGCTGCCTTCCACTTTTCCTAGTCTTATAGTCATTTCCCTGAATCCTGACTTCTGATGTCCAGGGCATAATAGTTTCAGTTTGTTCATTTTAGCTTTTACTGAGAGTTCAGGCTTGTTTTAAAGTTGTACCCATTTACTGTATTTGTTGTCCGTGGTATCCAATAAACCCACAGCACCATAGTTTGAATGGATCATTTTTCCTGTCATCATCTAGTATTCAGTTTGTGCAAAATAATGTTGAATACCATGGTGCAGATGCTTTTAGCCAACCCTGGTGACACATCCTTACACTTCAGGATCTTTTCTGCTTTCTTCATAGTTGGTTTTTCATGTCTCAATCTTTTTCTGATTTCTTGTCCATGGTCTCTCTTTGGATTGATGGTTGAATCAAGGTATAGAAAATGTTAACAATTTTAATATCTTTATCTCAATTAAAGTTATGTAATTTTTCCATAAATGCTATTTTTGTCATCTTAATGTTTGGCTATAATTCTCCTTTTGCAATTTTCTCTCTGTAACCTTTTCAGTAGTCATTTTATTGCTATTAGCTGCCAGAGTTTTTTCAGTGAATCTGCACATCTTGTTATTGATCTTCTTTCAAAAATTTACATTTTTTAATCTGAACTAATCCAGTTTTCTGTGTTAGATGAACATACCCTTGTCTGTTATCTTTACCAGTGTAAAGCTGTTCTGTCCAAATTCGGTCCTAACAATAGTCTCTAGGGAAATTTGTATTTGTATACAAATATCCCTAACGCAGCTGGACCTAACGAGGGGACTGAACTCATGTGTCTTGCTGTGGCACTGGTCCCACTTGTCCTTCCGACGGCTCCCTGACCTCCGCTCTCTTGCTGCTCGGCTGGCCAGTCAGCAGCCCTGCGGGGAGTGCCTGGAGTGGCCAGCAGAGCAAGAATAGAGCAGCGTTCTAGGTGCTATTGGCAGGATGAGTGGAACCAGCACCATGGCAAGAGGTCCCAGGGCCAGACTCTCATTAGGTCCAGCTCTGTCGGAGATATTTGTATTAGTATATGAATATCCCCATCTCTAGTTGAGAGTGTAGAACCAATTTAATTGTTACCAGGGTAATCTAATGTTGTGGCGCATTAGAATTACCAGTAACTTTTCATGATCCATACAGTCAATAGCTTGATTTCCTTCTGAAATTCTTTACTAAACTCTAGTAGCCAATGTAGGTTTGCAATATGATCCCTAATGTTTCTTCTTTTTCCAAATCCAGCTGGAACAGTCAACAGTTCTTTCTCTGTATATGGTGAAAGTCTTTGTTGCAGTACCTAGAGCATCACTTTGGTTGCATGGCAAATTGATGCAAGAGTCCTACAGTTACTGTAGTTGTTGGTGTTTCCTTTCTTGGGGACTGGAATGGAGATTGAATATTTCCAATCTTTGGGCCATTGTTTTGCTTTTGTCATTTGTTGACATAATTCTTATAATTTTAATAGAATCTGTCTCTGTAGTTTGAAATAGTTCGGTTGGTATTCTGGCCACTCCAGGTGATTTATTTCTTCCAAATGCTTTGACAATGATTTTCACTTCACTTTCTAGAATTGCAGGTTCCTTCTCTGAAGGAGTCTGTGATCCTTGCATCTCTTCTATACAGTCCTTCAGCACATTCTTTCAATTTTCTCTGTTTTCTCTTATTCAGATAATATATTTCCCATTAAACTTACAATCTTGGCTATTGCATAATAAACTGACGGAACCATTTGTAAAATTCCAAATCTTGGTTTAAAATCCCATTTGATCTTTTTTGATCTTATAAAAGAGATAGTTCATTTTTCTTGTGTTATCATTCTCTTCTGTTTCTTGATAATATTTCCCTTTGCTCCTGTGTGCAAATTGTGAAAAGTTGGGTTTAGCATTCTGATCTATTTCCATTCAATTTTAATTATGTTTCTCATCTGTTTTTAAAGTGTTAATTTTATAATTGCTTCTTTAATTATAAAGGAATATTGTTTTTGCATTGTTTCCTGATAATATTTTTGTTTTCTGTTGTTCAAATAACAATAATTGTTTGCACTGTCATTTCCAACTTATGGCAATCTTTTCCAATGTTTTCTAGGTAGAGAATACACAAAAGTGATTTAACATTCCCCTCTTCTGGGGTACCCTGAGAGTGTGCACTGTTCAACTGCAGTCTTGCTTTCACTTTTTCAGTTTATCGTCAGTTGAGTTTAGTAAGATCAATCTGTTCTTTACGTAGATTTTAAATTACAGTACTGTACTCTGGAATGCTATCCAAATTATATTTTGGCACTATGGTTGTTTTAGTGTTCTTCACCTTTATGCTAATATGTGACAATAATGTTCTGTGGTCTTTTGTACAGTTTGCTCTTGGTCTTGTGTTTACAAAAAGAACAGAGCTTCTCTGTTTTCTGCTTCCAGTTAAATATTTTTTAAATTTTATATTAGCCATCTGATGATGTCCATAGGTACAGTCATGCACAATCACTGAGGTCTGGCTCTGCTTTCTTTACTTCTTTTTGCATGTCAATTACCTATGATAGCAACACATCCTCTTTTTATGTGTGCTTAATTTCCTTCAGGACATCTGCACAGTAGCTTTCAAATTCTTCTCCAGAGGTTTTCTTGAGCTTGATTATCTGATTGGAGTTTTCAGTACAGCCTTAACCGCATGTACAGCTGCTTGTTTCACTTCAATTTACTCACCAGTTGATTGAAGGCCTTCCAACCAGGAGCTCTCTTTTTTCAATGCTGCATTTCATTTAATTTTTAGATGGCCATTATAGGGATTTTGAGGTATAAAGCATTCAGAAGTAGTTGACTATTGCTTCCTTCTATTGCACAATACTAACAAAAGTTAGCTGGATTGTTACGACTGTTGTCTCTGATTCCCCTGCCTGCCCTTCTAAAATTTCTCTGTGTCATCTTTGGAATCACCAGTAATCTTCTACTGATGTGGTTATTAATTCCTGAAGATGATGAATCTAATTTAGTATGGTAGCTTTGACCAATTCACCTTAGCTATCAGCTTCCCTTGTACACTCCAACTGTCTTTCATATTAATGTATCTCTGAGCGAAATATATGGCATATGTTCATTTCAGTTGGACCCATTCTAGATACCATTGTCATTTAAGTATGGATCATATATTTTGGAGGATTCCAAATGTGGTGCAGTGGAGAAAGTAATGTACTATGACTGTGGAGAACAGGGTTCAAATCTCCACTTGGCCATGGAAATTCACTGGGGGATTGGGACTAGTAAAACGACTCCTTAAACATCTCACCTTCCTTGAAAACCCTGTTAGGATTTCTATAAGTTGGTTCCAACTTGACAGCACAGAACTCACACCCATATATTTGAAGTGCTGAATGAAGAACTGTCCTTTGTAGTTTTGAAGTCATCAGGAGATGACAAACTGCATCTTAAGTTATTGGTGATACTGAAGTCAGAGCTTCTATCAGTCTTAATTCCTAAGAGGACAGGAGCCTTCTTGCAAGAGTTCTGCAGAATCAGAGGTGGGAAAATGCCCTTGTCTTCTAGAAGTAACAAAAGGCTCCTGCAATCTATTGACTAGCCAGGTTGCAGGTGTTAACTGGAAGGATTCTTGAATAAGCCATTAAGCAGTCAGCTTGTAATAAAAGAAATATTGGGATCACAAAAGCTAGTATATATTACTTAACATCTTGCACCAGGCCAGCCTTTTCTTCTTTTTTTACAAATTTGGTAGCTAATACATGTAAGGAATGTTGTGAATGCATATCTGGGTTTCATTTACTCTTTCAACAAAGTCTTGCATGATATTCTTGTTGGCAAGCTGGTGAGGTGTGGGCTGGACTGAGGTGGGCAGAAGATTGCTGAATCTGCAAGTAGATTTATGGATGGCTTACAGTACAGGGGCAAGAATTTCTCACTCTCAATTGTTCATTTGCATCAACAATGATATAACTCTTCTCCTCACCCTAGTATATGTTGTTAATATGAAGAAAGTTTGAGGTAATGAGAAGCAGATTGTGGTGTGAAGGGCAGTGAATTCCCTTTAGTTCTCACACTCAAAATGAATTCCTGCTCTCAAAATAGTGCTATTCTTTGTGTATGTTTTTATATCATTCTTCAGGTGGTGATTATCAGGGTTCTTCTGCCTCTTTTCCTGCAACAAACCTCAGAAATATATTCCACAAGCTTGAATTATGCACAGTCCTGAGTTGGATGGTGCTACTACTAGGTTATACTAGCATATATGTGTGGCTGCACTCTGCTTTGGTT